GGGAATTCCGTGAGAGAAGCGGGTGGGTGCCTCGCCTCAGGCCTCGCAGCTCCCCGGCGGTACTAAAGGGTAGCCCCTGCCGCTTGCCCGGGAGTTGCAAATGTCTGGGCTAAATTTATTATTTATCCCTCTTTGTAAATTGTTCTGCCGCGGGGGTAGAATATCATGGAGGGAGGAGATGGTGTCTGGAATATTGAGACATCCATTATTATCACATTTCCATGCAATGTTGGGTTCTTTATGTAACATTATTTAACTGCCACATGAGCACTCTAAATTCTCTCACTTCCCCCCTCCCCCCTTTTGTTTTTTTTTGTGTGTATGTGTAGAAGAGTCCTTATTGACACTGGGGAGCCATCTACTCCTGAATATATTGGCTGTTTAAAGCAGGCACTGTCAGAGTTCAACATCTCAATTCAAGAAATTTTAGTGACACACTGGCATCGTGATCATGTTGGTGGAATACCTGATATCTGCAAAAACATCCCTAGCGGTAGGCCAGAGATTTTGGATATTGTTGAAAATGTTAGATACGTGGCAAGAAAAAACTTTTACTGAGTGCTTCTGTGCAAATCAGCTGGATTATTATTCTGGAATCTCCATATAAACTACGTGTCATTTCATGATACTGTTGCAGTGTGTAGAATGAGAGCAATGAATAATCTGAATATTGTAGTTGTAGTACTACAGTTTTGCTTCAATACCTGTGCATACCTTCATAGTGAATTTTTCTTATGTGTGAATAATGAGAACCTAGATTACCATCAGCAGTTTACATGGTATTAAGAGATGTGAGAAATACTTGATACTCATTCCTTTCTACATTGACAGTAATGACAAATTTACCATTATTTTCGCTTGTGTAAAAACAATAAATAGCTTAATCTCTGAAAAAGAAACATGCATAACTTTGAGGTTCCTTGCAGCAGACCATTAGTAATTGCTGACAAATTTGTAGGCCTCAGATCATGAGCGGGAACAGGGTAGGACAGTCTGCAGGTAAATTCTGATCTAAAAATGTGTATTTCACGTTGATAAACAGTAAGAGACATTTCCGCTTTAGTATCTGGGAGGAGAATAAGCAGTATGGATCACGCAGTTCTTCTTAGCATCACTGGACTTTGTCACAAGCTTTGTCACATGCTTTATCAGGTTTTGTTGCCAGGTGCTTATCTGCAAAGAAGCCTGGGCACTACTGAAAACAACGTTGGTGTCTTTGTGGTGATTTTGGTCTTGTCAACCCATGAGCATGGTTGTAAAGACTAGCAAGGGATATAAATACCTTTCTGGGTTGCTGTCTATAGCTGTTCCAGCCAAGGCATTCACAGTTCATGCACAGTTCAGAACAATAGACACTGAGGGAAGTTGCAGGTCAAAAAGCCTCCATCCAGTGTTAGGCAAATGTTGAATGGTGCTTCTGTGAATCATAATGCAGAACGTGAGCGCAGAAATCTTAATGTTGTTGTAGAACCTTGGGGGGTTTGGCTCTTGATGAGTCAAGAAGGAACATTTGTAAAGTATGGTAATTACTGACATTTCTTTATTAATTTCACTTGTGCTTTTTTGTCTTCAAAATCGCTGCTGGTACAGAGTACAGTATTCAGATTCAGTGGCTTTCACTGTTCAGTGTTTGTGGCTCTGGAATAAGATTGCTTTATAAACATAAAGTTACTGTACAGAATTTCTCATTTCTATTTAAGTATTCATACTGTGTAATAATTAATAGTACTTGTTCAAAAAGTAGGCTTCCTGTAGAATTAGCTTTGTTAGTGACAAATTCAAAACGTCATTTTCTTTGCTTTCTGTAAATAGACTCTGAATATCGCATCTGTAAGCTTCCTCGTGCCCCTCACCATGAAGAAATAATAGAAGGAGGACATAAGTATGTTTATCTTAAAGAGGGAGATGTGATACAGACAGAGGGAGCCACGCTCAGGTAAATAACAATTTCTGCAAGTTTTCTTCAGAATTCTGATACACATATGTATCCTAACTTCTAATGATTGGCAATCTATACATCTAATCTTTTCAACATTTATGCATGTAGACTTTCTATCATGATCCAGCAGGGTATGTTTATACAAAGAAATTGTTTTTATGAATGAGGATTATCAGGAATTAGCCTTTGGTTTTTGGCGTCAGCACAGAAGTTTAGAACATTTCCCTTGAAGAATGTTTTCTCCAGGAAAATCAAATAGGATTTTAAATACTTTCTAATCACTCTTAGATAAGTAGTTTATTATTAAAATTGATACTTTTGGGGAAGTTTATGGTAGTCTGGATGGATTATTTGGCATGCCTTTCTTTTTACTTTAAAAATATTTCCCAAGGAGACACTAAAACATTTAATACTTAAAATGTTAAATTTTAAACCTTTAACCTGTCAGGTTCTTGTAGGGTGCCAGTTTGGGAGGGCTTCTTCCCAGAGAGCATATTGCCTGTCTTGTTAGCATGAATGAGTCTGAAACAGAAAGCCACTCTGCCTCACACAAACACACACACACACAATAAAGAGATCTGACCATTCTGTTTCCAGAGTTCTTTCATTAACAAGGCATTACTCTTCTAAGGACAAATTTTGCTTGTTTTCCTCAGTTTAGATGTGAATTATATCCCACTTGTAGAATATGCCAGCTGGCTGATTGGAAGAAACATAAAAATAAAGGATATATTTGACAAAAAGCATTTTATTTTGTTAGTAAAAAAAAAAAACAAACAACCATGGAGAGTATTATATTGAATACTGAAGATCCATCACTATCCTAAGTGGCCCGTGTTTGGACAAAATCAATTTAGAGATAGAAAACAACTTGTTAAATTTGAATCCAAGTGAGACAAGCGTGGCACATTTTGAAGTTTGGGGCAATGCAGCCAAACTTTATCCTTGGTTAAAAGCAGGTATTCTCACCTGGTTAATTCAGTAAGCACTTTTAAGGATACTCTTAGATCCACCACTGGATTCCAAAATAACAGTATCTGCATGTTAAATTTTAGTTAGCAACCTTCAAGTTTTCAAGGTGTGCCAGGCAGTGTTGATTCTTTTTCCTTTGTTTTTCCATGTTAGTGGTTAAGCTTCCTGGTAAAGTTTTGTCAGGAACTGGAGAATACCACTTCCTACAAAGGCAACCCTTCGGTTTGATTTTTGTGTTGCCTCCACAGGGCCATGGCTCACCTGCTTTCTGCTGAACTCAGTATTCAGTAAGAGCTGGAAGTCGTTGCATCAGATGCTGCTGTGCTTCTGTCCTCCCAGCCCTGCGCTGACATGGCTGGGTGCTGTTTAGCACTGGCCTGTACACCATGCTTGGCACCACCTCTGTCAGTTCCTGATCACTGCTTTGATGCATCGGCCATTAACAAGAAGATTATGATGAATTTCAGCAGTGATGCTGGTCCGAGTTGTGTACTTTCAGTTTGAATCGGCCTCAGCATGAGGCCTTCTGCCTTTCAAAAATTGTAGTGAAAGGACACTGCAGTGCAGCTCCTTAGCAGCTCAGGTTACTATATACATATCAACTGTCCGTTCACCCTTTGCTGCATTCTAATCCAGTACTCATTCAAGCTGTGGGGTCCTAAATCCTTACCATTCAGATGTTTAATGACCTGCACATAGAACAGCTAAAGGACTATGATTCCTTGTTGTATTTGACAGTTCCGCTCCACTGTGTCATGGGGCTTTCAGGGAAAAATAAATTTCAGGAGACAGAACTTTATCTGGGTTGGGTCCAGAATTTTACAGTTAATTTCTAAAAGAATTGGCAACATCATCCTTATCGTCTTTTGCTAAGTGCAAGGTGTACGTCAAGAACTTCACACATTTCAATCTGGAAGTAACATGTCAATTTTTCTTTTTTAAAGCTTCAGAGTAAAGCCTTCTATAACACAAATTCTACATGGCTAGCCAGCTCCCTTAATGCACTTTTATTATGACGTGTCATGTAAATAAAAGCATGTTAGAGATGGTGATCTGTGTTCTCTACATGGTATAAGAAAATGGACTGGGATTAGACAAAGTGATACCCTGTTTACATCGACATTTCAGCCTTTTTTAGTCTATTTTTTTCTGGTTCTTCTTGTGGGCTACTTTGTAAGCGTATGATTTTATCACTATTTGTTTCTAGCTTCTGAAAATGAAGCATACATTCTCTATGAAAAGCTTACGGTTTTTTGCTGTTGTTCTTTAAACAGAATTTTATATACGCCTGGACACACTGATGATCATATGGCTTTACATCTAGAAGAAGAAAATGCTCTGTTTTCCGGTGACTGTATTTTAGGGGAAGGAACAACAGTAATTGAAGACCTGTATGATTACATGAAAACTTTGAAAAGGTTGTTACAAATGAAACTAGATTTAATATATCCAGGTAAGCGATTCTATTTTTAACTGCTCTGTTTTACTGTATAATTTTTAAATATTTCCTCTAAGAATTTGAGAACTCTTATTACAATCAAACACCATTACTAATGTAACAATTCAAGTTCATTACTTAATATATGTCCAGTGCTAAGCTAAGCTGACTTTATGGCATGGTAGTTTGCAAGACTTGAAAATTTTTCAGTGGTAGATATCTTTCCTTTCTGAGATTTCTCCATCTGAGGGTGAAACTTATGCTTCTGTGCCCAATGCCTACAGAGGCCAGAATCTTTCACTGTTGGAATCATATAGCAAATCTGGTTTCCTTATATTACTCTATCCACGCACCTTAATGTTGCCCTGGAAGAAAATATAATAGTTGTTCTTTTGGTCCTTTGCACCCCCACATACACTGCCAATGTGAGTAACCTAGTAATGTTTTTTGAGAGAGATATCTGTCCTTTGCAGCATAGATTAATCACAAATTCATCTTGGAAAGCTGCAGAACTGTCAAATGGTTGTCTTAGTTAATGACTTAGCTTAAGTTTGAACAAGAGCCAAGAGGCCAAACATCATGTTGTAAAAATAAGTTGCCGATTCATTCAGTCTATGACTCTGCTTTAATTTTTTTCCTCTATCTCCCCCAAACCCTGGGAATGCATTTACTTCTCATATAAACCGCGTGTCTACTTGACAAGACTGGATTTTAAGAATTCATTATGTAACTAAGGTTTAAGCTCCTCCTCATTTGCTTTTTTCAGAGATACATCTCAGGATTTTTTCTGACTTTTTCTGTTTCATGTTCTTCAACTTGTCATTCTGAGTGACTGTGTCTACATTCTCAGTTCTGTCTTCCTCCATTAACCATCTATGTTTAGCCTACATAACCAAATCTCTTTTGTGTTCATTCTTAAAATATGCTTCTTTTGAAGTGTTCTTTAAGTGCTTTAAGATCTAAGCGTAAAAATGCTATTTAAGAAAAATATCATTATAGATATTCCATGGATGTGGAGGCTGACATAGACAGAAATAGTGACTTGCTGGTAGTTATTGACTTAACTACTGGTAAAACTAAGAATATTTTAGCCTCCAGAATCTCAATCTATTGATCAATCTAATGTTCTACTTTCTTTCTTAAATACCTACGAAACAGTCTGTTCCTCTAATTGAATTTCTGCTTCTAAAACCTCATATATGCCAAATTCTATTGGGTTTATATTTCACTCTCTCCTTAATCATTATTTATCTAGATCACACATTCACCAAGGTTCAATATTTGTCCCATTTATCTGTAACTGTTTGCTACACTGTTTTAAGTATGTTCATGCTGTACTTTCAATTAGGAAGCCAGTCATATATTATGCATTTTTCAGTGATGAGTAGCTAAGTATTGAGATGGTTTGGAACTAACTTTCTTTTTTAATCCATGCATCACAAAATGTATGTACAATTGTGTGAAAGATAACTATTGCCCAACCAGAACAATTGTTTATATTATTGGTAGGTACTACAGTAAAATGGTAACTATAGCAGAAGGTAGTTTGCTTTACCAATACATTCTATATAGGCTCAGTACTTTGACTTTATTGCAGTTTTAGGTCTTCATAATTCTTGAACTTCATGCTTCAGCACTCACATTGCAGCCTCAGAATTAGATGTAAGGGAGCATGAATTTTTGTAATAAGCTGGCTGCTGGCTAGGTGTGAGTAGCTGAATTTTGCCAATCTTTCCCCTTACGTGTTTCTTTTTTAATTTAATGTGGAAATTACTTCAGGCAGAATACACATGACAGTCTATCTACAGCTAATAGTTGATGAGAATCCTTGGGACCAGAAAAGGGTGTTTTAGTCAGCAGAGGGCTCCCTATTCTGTAATAATAAATGATGTTCCTTGATAATATAGAAAAAAATGGTACTGGAGTTAGGAATCTCTGCAAGATTTCATGAGCCAATTGTTTTCTTCAATTTTATCCTTTGTGCTTTTAATTTCTCATGTGTAAAGAGAATCTATATTACTTCCCAGGGTGTTATGAGAATAAAAACTCACTGTTTCTGATCACCTGGGCTATACAGATGTCTGAAATAATATGAAGCTGTCTGATATAAAGTCTGAATTACTGGAAAGACAGTCATATTTTGAGAGATCTATTTCACATGCTCAGAAACATTTTACATTTATGCAGATACTAACTTACTTATTGGTGAAGTTAACTGTGTTGCTGTCCCTGAAAAATTATGGATGGGAAAGGTCCACATCTGGATTTAGTTCCAAGCTTTCTGAAATCATTTTAATGTATGTATATGCATACACAATGGCTACCGATATGAAATGCCTTTAACTTTGCAGAATGTGGCTTCCGTTGCAGGTACTGACATTGGTCTTGTAGTCTAAGTCAATTAAATCACTTGGAAGAGCAGAGACTGGTTTTAAGACTGCCTTGTGATTCCATGCGCAGGCCTTAATTTTGAATACTTTAATGTGACTTCTGCCATTAGAGAACACAAGAGAATGGACAGTTGCCGTTATAGACTCTGCTCTGTATATCTTAATGTGTTTTTTCTAAATTTAAACGTCACTTTTTATAAATGGTAACATATTTACTAGAGATACTGTTGTATTTGTAATTTATTTTGTAAGGAGCGATAGCTTCAGATTAAATGTGTTTGAAATCATTAAATACGTGTGCATATGACAGTATAGTTTTATATTTACATGTTACATATCTTTTATTTGTAATACTGTCTTTACACAAGGTAAGCTTCAATGTATATTTAGTAATTTCAAATCTGCTGAAGTGAGTCTGTAAGTTGAGATATGCATAAATATTTTAACTTTCTGAAGGATAGATTCCGTTGACACTTTTTTATTTCACAGATTCAAAACATGAAAAATTAGGTGCTCTTTTTCTTTAAGCGCCCTGTCCTCAGGCAAAATAAGCTCTAATTTTAAAAGCCTTAAAACTAAAAACCCATTTAGTCGGTTAACCCAAAAGTACAAGTAAAGAATATGATGATTTTTTAAAAATAGCCAGAGAACCTCAAAAGAAACTGTCTGTTTTGGATGATACCAAAAAACTTCTAAAAGAAAGCTATTTTTTACAGTAGTTTCTGTTCTACTAATTTGATAAATTACTTTACTGTTTTTTACTGCCAGTTTAGACTGGCGGAGCTGGAAGTTGCTGCTGCTACTTCAGGTGATGTATACGGGCAAAGAAACAGGAAACCTTGCTATAAAAAGCATGTGACAAATATTCATGCAAATAAATTTCTCTATAGGTGAAACATTAAGTTTAATTTCTGTGCGTGTAACTCTCGTGTCTGAAAAATATTTTCATTTCATCTGTCATTTTAGTGTATCATGGGGCAGTATTTGATTCTTCCACAAAGCTTAGTGCTTTACCAGTCAAGCCTTTTTCTAATTTGATTCAAAGACTTTTCAGTAAGTTGAACGTTTCTGATCTGCCACAATAAGTCCAGGAAAAAACACGTATGCTTTGTTTATTAACCAGCCACACATAAAATGATCCACATATAACCTTCCTTGTGCATTGCGTATTCCTGCCCTGACACGTTCAGATTGGCTCACTGATTTGTCTAATACTAAGTTTTTTGATCATACTTATGAAAATATGTTCTTAGGGGAATAAAGTACAGTGTGTGAGTGAGTTTTGAAGATCTGTCCTGGAAAATTTATTTGTCACAATTAAAGATGTTACTTCTCTCTCCTCTGTGTTTGCTGGATAGCCCCACAACAGGACAGTAGTACATGAGTCCTTTGCCTCAGCCAGTTCAAAGGTTCAAAGACCAGTATCAGTTTAAATAATCAGTATCAATATCCTTTGGGGAGTGTGAGACAGGCAGACAGAGGTGGTATAATAATCTGAATCTCATCTTTCAAATCTGTTTCGCAGTGAACTCCTTTCCTTCTTCTTTTTTTTTTAAATAGCCTAAAGTAGTCTTTCCTTACTTTCTTTATTCCATCTGAAGTATTCCCTTTCCCCATTCAGACTTTTCAGATTCTAATTCTTCCTTTTCGTCTTAATGCTTTTCAATTACAGACTGTGGTGCAGACATTCAAACTTGATTTTGGCCTATTTATATGAGGGGAAAAAAAAAAACACGACAAAAAACCCAAACCAAAAAACATGCAGAGAGTGTCTTACAATTTAACATCAAGGATACTCTGACAGGGTGGTATGTACAGGTGCTGCTCCCTTCTTAAGACTTTTAAGTCTGCTAGAGTTTACATAAGAATGATTCAGTTATTCAATAGCATACTTAATTCCTAATTTAAGTAATAGCGCTCTGGTACATGTGTTTTAATTTAGGTCATGGCCCAGTAATACGTGATGCAAATGTTAGAATCCAAAACTACATTTCTCACCGAATTGCACGTGAACAGCAAATTCTAAATGTTTTCCAGAAGAACGCTGGAAAGTCATATACATCCTCGGAGCTTGTAAAGATAGTATACAAGGTAATTGTTGATTAGAAGTTTTTAGATCAAACTAAAGAAAACTGAGATTATGTTCATAAAATTGTACGTAGCAGTTTAAGTATTTGAGTGAAGACCATGGTGGCTTTTTAAAAGGGAAAAAAAAAAATATTTCTGCTTGTTCAGAATTCATATATGACTGTGCATTTAAATTGTATTGTTTGAGCAATTCGTTGGAGTGGGGCCCAGATGATTCTTACAAACTTCTTATTTCACTATCTAGATGGTCCTAAGGACCGTTTCATAGGACCAAGCAAAAATAAAGTTGTAGTGCTTGGTTCTAAGTGAAAAGTATGAGATGACTGTTAATTTTTGATTTGTCAAGGTGTGTTTGGAGTCTCCTGGAAGATTGCTTAAAACTTCTAGTTCCTGATTTATCAGTCTGCAGGAGGGTGCAGGTGAACTGCGGTTTCACAGAAATGGATATTGCACTCAGCAGTTGAGTAGCTTGTGTGTGTCATTAGACAGGCATGAGTACTTTTTCGCTACTTCATCATTCTTCATGTAACCTCAGTAATTTGTACATGTAGTATGGAGGTTACCCCTCCTAGCAAGTAGAGATAAAAGAGATACAGCATTTGCTTCGGAGGAAGATGTCGAAGTTGCCAATTTTGAACAGGTTTGTGAACAGGTCTGTAACAGCTTCACAACTCATTTTTCACGGTTCTGCTGATCCCCGGTTTCTGAAAGAATGATTATGTCACATTGAACATTTTGCGATGCTGATGTACCGTTACCTGTGGCTGTTTAGCTCCTGCAGCTTTCCTGCCTGAACAACTACAGTTTTTAAGTATACAGCCATTCACATGTTTCTGTAAATCACAAACCACTTGTCCTGTCACTATATGATAAGAATTTTTTCGATACTACTAAAGCTTTCGTATTAAGAAAAAAAAAGTGTAATCTTTCAAAGCTTTTTAAAGATTCACAATTTATTGAGCTAGTTTTCTAGTGAATTCTCCTGCCAGACTCTTGTTATTTGGAGGAGAACGTTTTAATTTTCAAAAAGAAGGCTTTACTTTTAGGAAGATAGTGCTGGAGAGGGGGATTTTGAGAAATGTTACTGGTTTTTACCTAATGAGCATTGGAAAATTTTAAGAGACGTTTTGTCCTCCTAAAGCTGTTTTATTTTTAAATTGTTTACTCATTTACAGATACTAATTGTTAAAGGATATTTAAACCCATGCGAGTATTGTCATGGAATAGAAGTGATAGGTGTCTGTGGAGAAATGCATCTTTAAATTTGTCTTTAAAAATGCTCAGCTACACTGATAACCCAGTGCAGACCAAGCTCAGAAGAGCACAGTCTTCTTAGTGTTGGCCAAAGTTTGCATAATACAAATGGATAATGTAAAAAAAGAGCAAAGTAAACAAAAATGTGTTACTAGGCTACTAGTTTAACTGGTGTAAAATTGATGTACTCATTTCAGTTTGTTGTCATTATGTAACTAACTGAATGTTCAACCTGGCAATTCAGAAGAGGAGAATCTATGTTAATAAACCGTGAGTTCCATATATTGAAAAAATAATTGGGAGATATTTAAACAAATACAAAATGCATATTTGTATCCCCATTAGGAGATCCCTGAAAATTTACTTCTAGCAGCAGAAGTTAACCTCCTAGTCCACTTGAAGAAGTTGGAAAAAGAAGGAAAAGTGTGTAAGTTGTGGATGGAGGGGTGGAAGGAGGCTCATTTTCATTTTGATTTTCTATGTACTGTTTCTCATTATATTTTAGTGCATTGTTTCCTGGGAAAAAAAACCCTGCAATTAGTTGTCGTAGCTGTCCTTTAGACAATTTGAAGTAGGATTATATACAAGAAGTCTGTGGTTATACAGTATTTCCAGACTTTTAGAAAATATTTTATAAAATATTTGTGACACGCTTAGAGCACAGATTACTGCAATGCGTATACCTTTAAATTTTGATTTAAAACATACCATGGAATACATTTGTAATGCTAGTGTTTATACCTTTGTGTATTTTCTGAAATTCATACCTAAATATGCATGTGTGTAGCAATTTATGGGATTACATTTTACGTTTCTGCCTTTCCTAAATGTGTATTGTTGTATATATGTGTTCTAGAGATGGTTACAGTCACACAGCGTAAATTTTTACAATTTCTGGTTAGTACAGTACTTAAGTAGAGCAACTATATTTAGTTTACTGTTTTTACGTTTTGCCTTTACTTTTAGTAAACAAGGTGAAGTATTCTACTTCTGTAATAGCATGCGCATTTAGAAACGTTACTCAGCCAGAAGCTAAGGAAAATACTTCTTTCTGTACATTACATAATGGACCCAGGACTGTCTACTTACAAGTAAATAATTACACAACTATTTAAAACTGTTTCAAATTTTCAGCATTTACCAGTCTGAATTACAACATGAAATTAGTGTATTTTTTCCAAGTTAGACCTTCTGTTTATTTTAATGATAAATCAGCTACTAGGTACTAATTGTTTGAACAATTGCGACTTAATTTTTTGTAATTCAAAGAAAATAGACTAGAGTCATGTGAATACAGTTATTACTGAAGTTCAGAAAATGATGTCTTTAAGCACATTTTGTGCAGAATGCCACGGAAGCTTACCAACATGATACTTATTGCACCAGCTTTTAAATGTGATCTCAATTCTTGGTTATTAGCATACACAATTGGCCTACACATTTCTCCAGTTTGGCTCCACAAGATTCCTCTAGGGTATCAGATGCTGTTGACTATTTATCCCTTCCCTTTCACTGCCAAAGTAACTCAAGCAACAGCATTTTCTGTTTAGATGAAGTAGTGGATAAATTAACTTTCTCTTTAAAGGTAGACTTGCAGTCTTCCTCACACAAGACTGTGTATGCATCTTAAATGTCCAGGAATTAATTTGTCTGAGTAAGCTAGTGACTTTCATCTCTTAAGCCAGGTTTCTTTTTGTTGGTGTTTGTTGGTGGTTTTTTTTTTCCCAAAACACGCTTTTCATGATTAATGGACAAAAATAGCTCAGCTTTCCTCAGAAATCACCTTTGAATTTTGAAGAGACAGCGGATACAGAGCTTCAGTCAGATATCTGTTCACAAAGTAGCAACTGCTTGAAATTACTAGAAAGTTTAAATAACTAGAGGAGATACTAATCAGAAGAATTGTTGTGACTCTTCTACTCCGGTTGGAGGTCCTTGGTTCAGCTGTGTCCTCCTGCTTTCCACGAAGCACAAGAAGTGCCCTTTAAAGTTTTTTGGTTTGTTTTGCTTTTTAATCTTCAATTTGTGCTCACAGAGAAGGAGGAAAGCAATCTCATCAGAACACTGGGGTTTTTCTGTGCTGATCTCTGCAGTGTGGAAACAGTTGTTAATTTTTTAAATACAAGCTTAGACTCAGATCCATGATAAACACTTAGCATCATGTGGCCTTTGTCAGTTTTTCAGTTCAAATTAAGGACATCTGTTAAGAAAAATTGATTCTGTTGGTTCTGAGCATGTAGCATACAAATACTTGCGTGCTCATGTTACTCGTTCATTTGGTTTTGATATGATGTCCTTTCAACATAGTCTGAGTTGCAGTATTTCAAGTTTTGTTCTCACTGTAGAAGACTTGAGTTGCAGTCATAACACTGTCTGCTTAATTTTCACAAACTATTTTTCCAAAGAAACATGTTGTCAGTATCGGTAATGAATGTGACAGGCATATTACCATGTTACAAGAGAGCTACTCCATGCAAATTATGGCCATATGCTGTCTGCTGCAGTCATTAATTCACCACTTCATTTTAGGGCTTGCAGTTTATGTTGGTACATAACCTTTATAACTTAAGTTAGGAGTGATACTGCCTTTACAGATTTGCTTTTCTCACTTTAAACAAAAAAACAATGTCTTGTATATAGGAGCATGGCACAATATGCGCATGTAAGCTTTCTTCCATGTTTGGATCTAAATATCTTGGTCATTGGTTCACATTTTTAAAACACAGCTGATGAAGAGATAAAAATTATTTGACTGTTCTTAATTTAGCAGCACAGATTTTTTTTCTCTGAAGTTCGTAAATTTCAGAAAATGCAACAAGTGCTCTGCTACCTCAATTTTCTTAATATCTAGAAATTTTAGTATTCTGAACTTTAGGTTTAGAATAACTGTAGGTTTATTAAACCCTTTTTTATTAATCATTGTTTATATTGCTAGGTTAAATTGTGAAACAGTTAGTGTTTATCACCTTCCATTAAAACTCAACACTGGCCTGAAAGAAACTATTCCAATCGTTTTAATAAAAAATGACATGTACAGACATGCATATGCATGTACAGGTTGAGTTTGAGGTAGCCTAATGTTTATATATAGCATCTAAGTGTTAGTTTGTGACTAATTTGTTGGTTTTTTTTTTCTTAGCAGTACATGAGGCGTCTCCCAACTTCAGATGGAGAAACAATTTATAAGTTATGCAAGATTGCTCAAGGATTTTTTAATCTGCACAGTTGCTGCATCAAAAAATATAATGATGAGCTCAGAAGATACATTAAATAAAAACTAATTCTTCATTCTTTTTTTTAAAAAAGTGGTAACACAATTTTAAAGCAACATTACGGTCAGTTAACTAATGTTTTTCATATTCTACTTTATGGGAATTTTAAAAATAACCTGATAGGTACTGAGTTAATAAAATGGAATGAGTGTGAAGAAATGAATGTTACCTCTGTTATAAAATACCCAGCTTTATCATCGGTGGCAGAAGACAAATAGCAAGGTCTTATAAACTTTATATTACAATATTTTAAAGTAATATTATAAACTTAATAAATCAGATATATAAAAAATCTCTAGTAAAAAGAATAGAAAAGATGTTATTCTAAACCTGTTTTCATTTGCTTGTGCTTTTCAAAAAGTGATTTTCTAGTAAGTTATCTGTACATTCTAAAAACCAAGTTATTTTCATTAACAGATGTAAGTACTGGGGTTAGTATTCCTTTTCTAATTTAGCTGGCTGTGGACGTCTTTGCTGGTTGCTCACTACAATAGTTTTTAACAAATGCAGAAAGTCATTCCAGACTTCTGTGTTTTCTGGTGGAAACACCATTTCTATGGAATTTATTCAAAGGACTCATTAATTTTAACTAATGAATGTCAAAAAATGCACAGAGTTGGAGCAGACTTAAATCCTTATCTTATAAGATTCTGCAAGAATGTGATTAAAAAGCTGTATAAATTGAGGTATATATTACACACCATATGAAGTTAAGTTTGTCTGTCACTTTATAACTAACAAGCTTCAAGTTTTGCTGTTAAATCCATTTAAACTACAAATATTTTAAGGTTGTATTTGATTGTAAGATACTGTATAGTGTATTAAAGTACAATGTTTGAAGATTAATTTAAACTGCAAATTCAGTTCTCTGTGTAGGTTAAACTTTCAGAATAGTGTATAAATATTTGCATTACTTTGTGTATTCAAAGTGTGTGAAGTTTTTATGATTTATGCATGTCTTCTAAAGCTGGCTTAACCTTAAAAAAAAAAAATCAGATATGAGATGTTTGAAAGTACCAAAGACAAATATATGTCCTCGAAAATCCTTGCAAACCTTTCACTGTTCAATCTGGTACCTTCATTTGTGAAATATGCATATGATATTTAAGGCATGTCTTAATAATTATCATTATTTTATGAAGTTGATGGGGTTTGTTCTGATCAGCTGAGCCAAATCCAATACAAAAATACTCCCAGGAACAGCAATCCAAAACTGAAATCATATTCTGAAATAGTAACCAGACCCCTGAAGAGGGGAAATAATAACTTTCTGCTCTATAAAATGATGCTTTTTGCAAACTTCATTGATGTGGTTTTTGGCCACATCATGGCTCTTGCTTACTTTTAACTTTCTGTGTAGTGCCATTTTGGGCTCTTTTTCAGGTCTCCTAGTTTTTCTTCCTTTTATATTTTCTGTTAACTTGCATTTTTCCATTTCAGCCACTTCTTTTTTCCCCTCCTCCTACAAACCTTATTTTTTTCAATCCTTTTGGATTGTTTCTCTCTTCATAATTACTCAGAAGCTTTCACAGGGACTTCTTGCCATTAATAATTATTGCTTTCCTGTAGCTTTTTTATGAATTTATAGTTACCTTTTCCATTGTTAGGAATAAAAAGGTAATTACCACTGTTTTCTTTTTTAAAAACTTAATTCACATGCTCTGAATGATGTCACTTTGCTGCAGGAAAACATATCAGTGAAATGGCACAATTTTCTGTCATGAGGCCTGAGAACATCAGCCAGCAGGAAACTGGTATGAAGAGGTGATCTCTCATTAACTTTCTGAGCTAAAGAAGAAATCTACCGGCAGGCAAAATGTCACTGAACCATTTTCTTCTGTTTTACTATACTTCATTTTTAAATAGACAAAAATGGCTTTAGAATTCAGTTAAAGTATCATTGGAATTTGCAGGCAGTGAAGAAAGCCAGAGGATACAAATTGGAGAATTCCATGTTCCGTGCTGTGCTGCAGCAAATGCCTGACATTCTCAAAAAATGAGGGAAGTTGCAGTTTAACCAGACTTGTCATTAATGGTTGTGTATGGTGGCTCTCAAATATTAAAAGCAGAGATTGCACTGTTACTAAGATGTATATACAATAAAAGATACTTATATCAGCTGTGACATGTTGTAAAAGTCTTAAGACTCCTTATTGATTATGAGATTATGAGTCAGAAGGAGTGTTTGTTTATTTAAAAATAGAAAGGTAATGTAAACTATATGCCATGTATGTATAGAAAAGGGGATTAGCCTATTTACCTCCCTTGTATTGAATACATTCATCTGTGCAGAATGCATTAAAAGTTAAAAATAAAAACAGGAGAAGGGGCAATTTCTGTCTCTTCAAACTAGAAGGGCAAATGTCATTTGATGCGTTAACTTTCTAAACAGCTGAGGCCAGAAGCTGGAAGAAGCATAAATTGCGTTTCCAGCCTTCCTGCCAGCTAATTTTAAGATCCTGTACTGAGAGGCAGCATCATTTATCAGGTTTAAGACCCAGGAAAGAAGTTTGATGGTAGTTATAACCTTTTTGGGGTTTTCTATTCTGTTTCTTACTAACTTGCTTATTTACATTTGGTTTAAAATTTTATTCTTGGTTACATCTTTAAGGATGTTTGATGACAAGTGAATTCAGGAAAGGTTCCCAAGTAGGAAGAGCATTGTTCTGTTTATTTCTGTTACTGGGGGTGCAGTAATACGCTTACTACCAACTACTCTACAGTCTTGCCACCTGAAATGGCGTATTGAGTTTGCATGGCAAGGTTTTGGTAGCGGGGAGGCTACAGGGGTGGCTTCTGTGAGAAGGTGCCAGAAGCTTCCCCCATTTCAGACTGTCTAAATGATGTGATCATTCTGAGGCGTAGTATTTCAAAATATGGGCATCTGGAAAGAAACCTGGCATAGACCAGCAAGAAGCAGACTGAGGGCTGGCAGTCTTAGGTGTTTTAGATCATCCCACTTTGCCTAAAGGGACATAAGGAACACTATGTGGCAGAAGAGGGAACTCCAATAAAAGGACCTGTTCAGATGACGCAACAGGTTGCCTTGTTTTCTCTTTCAGTATAGCAGTTTACACCATATCATCAGGACAAACACAAACCCAAGTTGAAACCAAGGAGGTCTGTGCCTGTATGAGAGGACTCCTCGCCAGACACCCGAGGCGCTTGCTGATTATAGCTTGAGAAAAGGATGTCTTGTCCCAGTTAAGTCCTGCTTGTTATGTTCTGTGGAGATGAGATGACCTGATTTCTTTTGAGGCTGAGGTGGGAAATAGATGCAAGACTACACTGAAAAAAGGATTCTAATTTTTATCCCAACCCAATTTACTTCACAGGTGCAGTATGTTACATCCATGACTACATGGTGTGCAATTGGGGATACACTTTCATATTATTACTGTTGAAATAATGCTATTCTTATTTAGAGTTACAAAATACTTCATCCCCTGTGCCCAGGGGACTGAAATATGAATGCTTGTTCTGTTTAAACTTCTCTATTTAAAAAAAAAGTCTCCAACTGTGAAGGGAAAAATTTCTGTAGCCTTTTCTGTATTTTTAAGTACCCCAGATCATCTCCAGATACCAAGTATCCCTGTCTCCTGACTTAATAAATTCATACAAAACCTCTGAGCAGCTGATGAAGGTGTTTCACAGTTGAAAAACCTGGTCATGCATTAAGCAGTCTGCTCCACGAGTCACTTCCATATAGTAGGAAGAAACCAACCTATTAAAAACAGTTCATACAATGTATTTGGTGCATGCTCTCCATTCTGGCAAGGTAAAGCCGTACCGAATAGTTGCATCTTAACCTCTTACCCTGTATTTGTTAGCTGCTGGCAGCAAAAGCCGTTCTGACAATGCTAAACCTCAGCCATAAATTACTCCTTTCTTGATCTTTCTTCTCCATATATCCATTGGGAGTATCTGTCAGCCAGAAGCTTTAATAAACAAAAGTTGCATGAATTTTGGGGGCGGTTGAAGGACAGCTCAATTCGGCTTGGATTTCTGCATCAGTGTTGATTTCTCAGACCTCTTCATTCATCTGTTTTAACCTGGTAACAGCCTTCTGTGATTGGGCTGGTTTTTTAATCCACGTCTAGCCTCCCTTCTAATGTCTCTTCCTTCTTCTCCTCAATCCCTTCAGTGGCAGGGAAGAATACTGAAAGGAACAGGAAAACACACCTGGTCAACACGTGGCTCAGGGGCTGGTGCCATCGGTGGAATTTTGGCTTCTTTGATCATGGGGAGGGTTACACAGCACTGGGCCTGCTGGCAACAGACTGAGTTCAACTGTCTCACAGGGGTAAAAGGATTCTCACTCACGAGTTGGCAGAGCTCATTGAGAGGGCTTTAAACTAGGT